GAAACGTTTGGGTGTAATTCAGGATTAAAAATGTAGCAGGCCAGGTGACCAACAGGAAAATATTCCTGGGCTAGTCCTATAGGGACTATTCACAGTAGGTCTTCTAAGTTTTAATGTTTTCTTTGTAGCTACTGTACACAAAGACCTGTTGGTTACCCCAGGAAAATGGGTTATATTAAAATTCTTAGCTAAAGTTATTGGGAGTATCAGTTATGGAAACTGCATAAGAATTGAGTCATTGTTGTGGGAGGCTTATGGGTTCAGTTGAAAAACACGAGAAGAAAATTTTCATTTTTTAATGAACTGTTTTTGCATATTCTGTGGTATGTGTGCAGCCCTGACAAGCCCACGTTTTTTACAGCTTGTGCATGAAAGCATTCCTTGCTGTAACTGTTCCTATTTGTTATCTTCAGCTGATTCACAGTAGTGAGGGGTACATCAGGAATGGTCAAGTGTATAATCATCAATCCTGCCTTGCACACCTGTCTGCCAAGTCTTAAATAGGTACAAGTAGATAAGGGAACCCAATGATCTGCTGAGACTGAGACCCACAAGGGACACAACCTGTGTTTATTTAGTGTTTTTCTCTTTAACCTAAAATGACTGGCTAAGGGAAGGGTGGCTTTGAGTGTCACAAAATAGGCAGAAACACTAACAATTATAATGTGGGCTATCATCCTTTCCATTAAAGACCTTGAAGTGTTACTAAATTTTCTAAGGCTCAGGGATATTTCTTTGACAGTAATCCCCAAGAATTAGCAAGACACAACTAGATGTGCACTTAACCAGGCTTCCTGTTGCAAAATGGCATTTTTCTTTGGAGATAGAAGCATTTTAGAATTTTACTCAGGAAAGAATAGCTACATGTGTGAACCTCTTTCTCCTAGTTTTGTGGAAGTAGTCCTGATCCCAAAAGATGCTAAAAAATAATCAAACCAAGAACCACTAAAATCCCACTACCTTGTGCATTTCTGTCCTGAGACAAGAGATAGGTGGGGATTCCCTGTTTAAACTTCAGTTGTATGTGTAGTGAGAAGAGCCATTTGGAAGTTTTTGTGTTCTAAAGAAACTTTCCTTCTTGTGGTGACTGCCTTTAGTGAGGAGTGAACAGAGGTGAGCATCTGCTGCTGGATAAAGGGACAGAGTGCAAGAGGGTTAACAGTGCAGGATGGCCATAAGCAGCATGAACAAGATGTGATGCTAACCCTGCAGCAGTATCCTCGCCATACAGAATTTATCATTTATAACCCTGTCATGTTTCAACGTTGCGCTAAGTAATTAATATGGTGTGAAGCTGGAAATATTTCCTGTATCCTGAGTTTATTAAGCACACTGACTGCCAACACAAGAATGTGTTTAACTCTGGATACAGTTAGTATAACAAGATGTACTAATGTTTATAGCCTAATAAGGGATACTCACTTCTGTGTACAGAATTATGAAGTTCTGGAAACACTTCATACTTTGAGAGACAGTGTGAGTGAAACAATATGGTTTATGTTGGTCTGGGAGTTTTTAGAATTGCATGATCGTGTTTAAATTTCCAAAATACTGAGCAATTGTGAGGCAATGTTTGTTTGTAAGAAACTTGGCTGTTTTGTGCTGCCATGAGGTACTGCTCAGGTGAGGAAGAGTTCTTTTCTGAAGTTTTGCCAGCACCTGATTCATACACAGTGCAAACACTTGTATTTGGGCTAGGGTGTGGGCACAGCTAAGTACTTTCAAACTTGAGTGATTATATATGGAAATACTTCCCCCCCTGCATAGTTTTGGCTTAAATAGTTGGTGATGATAATTATTTTACCTTAACCAACACTTCCTTAAGCAACATTAGATCAGCTGTCTTGTATAAGCTCCTTTAGAAATGCTTTGGTAGTTTATTTTGATGCAGAGTGGGCATGGCTGTATACTTTTGTTTGTTTGTTTTCCTCAGAAATCTATCTAAACATCATGCTGCAAAGATGATGTCTCTTAGTTCAGTCTAAATAATGGCAGGTTTGTCAGGAGCTCCTTTGAAATATTTCCCCAGCTGATACCTCATTAACCAGAGGGAAACAATCTGACTTCAGTTACACTGAGAAATTCTCTAAGGAGTGCTGAGAAATCAACTGTGCAAGAGAAGCCTTGTGAACAGCAGCCTAAGGTAAGTGGGGCATCTACTGGTGAAATGTTGCAGTGAATTCATTTACGCCATGAGAGTCTGCTCCAAATCCTTCTGTACCAGGCCATTCTGTACATTCTACATTTTGCTTTGCCAAAAAAGCAAGTGCCAGACCTATTTCCTGAACTCTTTGGGAAAAAATGCAATTACTTCTTGAATAATTCTTTACTTCCTGGCATTCCTTTACATTGCAATGGTAGTATTGTGAGACAGTTAGAAGAAGGGAAATGAGCTAAAGAAACTTGTCAAAAGGTGTGATTCGTGTCTTTAGCTATCTCCAGCTTTCCCCCACCCCATTCTCTCATGGCAAGTTCTCTGATGGTATTAAGTCTGTCTTCCTTGTACCAGGAGCTCAGTTGAAAATTAATACTATGTATAAATAATACTCTATGTATAAACAATACTCTATGAAAAATACTTATAAAATCCATAAGTGAATGCAACACTGCTCTATAAAATCCAGAGCTCCCAAAACCAGGTCATTATCCACACAACTAAATTGCCTTCCTCTGTTCTTGAGAAAATATATGCAACAGTGTGAGATTCTCAACAGCATTAAAGTTTAATGACTTCTACAGAATGCATTTAAAAATGTATTTTAATTTTTTTTACAAAATTCTATGTTGTGTCTCTTTTGGCACATTAGACAAAGACTTGGGAGAAGCCTAAGGGAGCTTTCCCTTAGGTGAGGAAGAAGGATCTACCATTTTAGAATCAATTGCTATGGGGAAAGCTTGCCAATATGTTTACTTGGAGCATGGATGTGCACTTGTGAAAAGGAAAACTGAATAAATAAGTGACAAAGTAATGCTAAACTAGGAGATGATCTGTTCAAACTGTTAAAATACCTTGCTTCTGCCATCCTTATAGATATGACATTGTCACCCAGTCAGTAAAGCCAGACATTTCCTTAACACTTTTAAAAATTCTATTGCCATAATAGAGGAGCTGTCATACATCAAAATACAAAAGAACCCTTACTTCTGCTCTGCTGCACAGCACAACTACTAAATTTAGCGGTGCTGGGGAATCAATTGCTTTATGTAATCTTATCACAAACCATTGCTGAAAAAAAACCATCCAAGTCTGTCTCTTGACCTTGGGCAAAACAAGTCTTTGTGCTTTCTTCAGAACTCCTTCTGCCACGTATGTTAAAAGAATCTGTAACCAAGCTGTGATTTCAGCTGTCCTTGAACAAAGTCAGTGGAGTAAGCAAAAGTCATTTTAGTCTTGTTAAATAATGCAAAGATTTCAGTACGTTCCCTTTCTGGGGACTGGTGCTTTTTTGACTAATTTTTTAGCATGTTCTGTTCTTCATTTCACGTGAACCTTTGGACAGAAACAATACCAGTTTTGTTTTCTTTAGTCTTTGCAATACTAATATTATTTTATTCAGCTCTTATTAATAGAAGCAAACAAAACAAATCATTGTGATTGATAGCTACAAAACACTTTGATCTTTGAAATACAAGGTGTGCTTGATTACTATGTTTAAACTTTACCCTGCTTTTCTTTTTATCCAGAAGTCAGATAATACCTGGTTCCTTCTTCCAAACCTGTAATTTCTTTTGGCTTGAGAATTCCACAGTTAGAAACTGTTCGAGGCTGGGAGAAGTCTTTGGAGAAATATTGCAGTATGTTTGCTCTGTTTTTTGCATTCTTCCTTTTTGTTGGCTAATGCAGAACAACCTTTTTGTAGGGCTGCTGAGCCAAATGTGCCTGGGCTTGGTAATGGTGAGGGGGAAAAGTCCCAGCAGAAGTGGAGTGACCAATAAATGAGAATTGAGAAAAAAGATCTTTGAGTTACGCTTAAGGTTAGAGGACAAAAATCAAGGCGTCTCTTTCTAGGTAGCAAAAACATTTCCTGTGTTTCCTGAATTGCAAATCCTAGGGCTTATGCTGAAGGGAAGCTGTTGCCAATGATGGCCAAATGGTAGCATTTTCATTACTTTATATCTGACCTTAAGGACTTGGCTCTTCAGTAAATACGCTTATTACTTTATTTAATCACTGCAGTCTTCTTAAAAAAACATAAGACTAAACCACTACTGCTCTCTAAGCCCAAACAGATGCAGGAAACCACAGAAGCTTTTCTGAGCACTGAAATAATGTTCAGGAAGCCTGAATCAGTACCAAAGCCACAAAACTCTTACACTGACTCATATTTAGTAGGACTTAGATGAAGCCTTTATTATCATCTTTCATGACATTAAACACTGAACTGGACCCATGTTTGCCCACTTGCCATCCACTTGCATGCCCTGTGGCTCTCTATAGTAGCTGGCAGACTGATGAGATTTTTTTGATGTGTTTCAGACAGATAGTACTGTAAATTTTATTGCTATTAGGCACATTCCTAATTGTTCTAGGTGACGTTACCATATTCTTCACTGGAATATGGTACAATGATAACCTACTAGAAGAGTTGTTAATAAGGAACCAGCATTTTAAGAATAGCAATGCTCCATATTTATGGTAGTCAAGAAATTTCTGTGAGATAATTTGGCATGTGTATTGCTTCTCATCACTCAAAACACAGAAGATAAAATCTGGGTTATGAATGCTAAATTGTATCATATGTCGGCATCACTTGTTATGCTATTTAAAAAAAATTAATTTATTAAAATAAAAGTTAAAGATTGCATTTTTCTTTATATGAGAAGGAGAGTTTGTGAAATGCACTCTTTAAGGTTACTTAGCACAGTTAAATCACTTTAGGGAATAATAGGGAGAATAAGGACAGCAGAGAAGGGAGCAGTGTAAAATATTCCAGTATCCTTTGTATCTTAAAAAGAAAGGGAATTTGCAAAACCAATTAGTTCTGGCCTTCCACAAGCCATTAGCATTCTTGTATTCCCCTCTTTTCTCCCTTATGTGTTGGTTGGTTCTGGGATGGATTGTTCCATTGAGGCATTTCAGGAGCTTTCAAAAGAAGAAAGATGCACATCCAACAGAAGTTAGTAAAAATATACTCTAGCAGTTCTATGATTGTAATCATACTGGCACCACAAAACAATCCAAGCTGGCCACCTACATCGGCTGTAATAGAAGGAAATAAACACGTGTCATACAAAGCATCTGGTTTAGTCTAGCAAGCAAACAAAACCCTGCCAGGCTCAAGTGTTACATAAATTCAATATACATAATCCATCACTTTAGGAAAACAGAATTAATATTCTTAAGAAAGTCTACTGAAGACTAATGTGTTTTTGAGAATTCTAAGTAAAGCAAAGTACAACACAAGACATCCTACTGTGAAACAGATACTTAAAATATTTACTACTTCTATGTCTTTGTAGCTGTTCCCTTACTTCTCATTCCCATGTTCTTCCTCTCCTCTCGCAATCCCCAAAATGTCATTGTTCTTACAGTCCTGTCTGTGACAGAGCCATAAACTAGTGCCAGACTTAATTCTTCCTCTCAGCTGCTGTCCATAGCATGGCTTCTTTAAAGGAATTACAGGAGACCGCATCAAAAATTACCACGAGACAGACATGATTATTACTATTATATATAAAAATTATGGCTTCTTGTTCAGAAGCCCACACATAGTTTTTTATTCAGGAGGTGAGAGAATTAAAAAAACTTTTTTTTTTTTTTTTTTTTTTTTGTCTCGTGGGTTTTTAAAATTACTATTTTTAGATTAATTATTAACCAATAATATATATTAAGCATTCACTTACCAAGTAACTCAGAGATAGTCAAAGCCTTCTGCTGCTGTGTTATTTTGTAGCTCAGATCGTGATATTTAATCTCAATACGCACCAGGTTTTGCCTAATGACACATACATAGAGTTTACTTGAGACAGTCAAGAGTGCTGCTCATTTTTACCAACATCTGTCAGCATGGTCTGAGTTCAGGGAGAGGGATGGTGTCTTTAACAAAAAGTTAGATGAGTTTTATCAAAATCAGTTACACGAGAGAAGGAGAAAACCCTAAATCCAAATAACAACAGCAGTTTAGCAGGAGTAGATTTTCCCTCTGTGTTGAAAAGGTAGCTCTAGATCTGTACTGTGGGGTAGACTCATATTTTTTAAGGATCACTGAGAAAAACTTGAATGGAAATGTCAAGTAAAGTGTAGCCTACCACTCTTGCAAGTGGATTACATGCTACTGCATATTTAATTGTGCTTATTTCAATTGGCATGTTTGTGCAGAGCAGTGCTTGTCCTAAACTTGGATGTTCAGTTCTACCCTCTGCTAGTAGCTTCACTTACCTAATTATATTCTTGCCTGCTGCAAAAGTGGAAGAGTAGGTAAATCTCAGCTAGATTTAGCTGAGATCTAGCTGTGTGATGACTGAGTGAAGAGCTCCTCTTTACGGTATCTTGTCTACAGAAAGACTCTGCCTAGGTCTTAAATGGAATATAAAAATAATGGGTTTGGAAGAAAACCGACTGCACAGATAATGTCAGTGGCTCAATGTCCAAGTATTTTGACCAGAGCTGTTTAACACCTTTTTAGTGACATGGACAGTGGTACTGAGGGCTCATTCAGCAAGTTTGTCCTGACACCAAGCTGTGTGGTGTGACTGACATGCTGGAGAAGGGATGCCATCCCAGGACCTGAGACCTGGACAGGCTTGAGAGGTGAGCCTGTGCAAACCTCACATAGTTCAGTGAGGCCAGGTGCTAAGTACTGAACCTGGGTCAGGGCACGCACAAGCACAAGTGGAGGTTGAACAGAGAATAGAATGAGAGCAGCCCTAGGTGGAGGGACTTGGGGTGTTCATTGAGGAGAAGCTCAACGCAAACCAGAAATATGCACTCGCAGCCCTTAGAGTCAGCCTGGACTGCATGGAAGGAAGAGTGACCAGAATACGGAGGGAAGGTCCGCAAGAGTGAAGTAGAGGGGCAGAATGGAACACCTGGAGTGTTTTGTCCGGTTCTAGGGCTCCCATCATAAAAAGAGAGAGTCCAGAAAGACCATGAAGATGATCAGAGGGCTGGAGCACCTCACCTCTGAGGACAGGCTGAGAGACTTATGGCTGTTCAGCCTGGAAAAGAGAACCCTCTGGAGAGAAATTACAGCAGCCTTCCAGTACCTGAAGGGGGTTCACAAAAAACGTAGAATGGGACTTTTTACAAGGACATGTAGGGACAGGACAAGGGGAATGGCTTTAAACCGAAACAGGGTAGGTTTAGATTAGATATTGGGAAGTCTTTACTGTGAGGGTGATGAGGCGCTAGAACAGGTTGTCCAGAGAAGCTGTGGATACCCCATCCCTAGCAGTGTTCAAGGCCATGTTGGATGGGGCTTTGAGCAACCTGATGTAGAGGGTGGTGTCCCTGTCCACATGGGTTGGAACCATCCAGGGGTTGGATGATCATTAAGGTCCCTTCCAATCCAAACCCTCCTATGATTCCTTGGAAGTGTTAACAGCTACAGGTTTTTGCTTTGATAGTGACAATGAGCTCATTAACAATATTCATGAAAATAAGTATTTTCTATACAAAATCATCACTTCTATCTCTTTGGGTGAAAATTCTAAAGTTCAGGTAGCGCTAATGTGTAAAAATAATCTTATTCTCCTAAATTCTGTTAGAGTCTGCCCTTGTAATGGATTTGCTGGCAGAATTATCCAATAAATATTTAACTTTTTCCTCATAACATCTTCAGAAATAATTACATCTCTATGTTTTATAGTCTGAAATGTGTACTCATTAATGTGTTGGCAGGATTCCTATTGGTTAAGGCCTGGTAACAGGGGAATTTCTTGTATGTTCCCTTGTGTAATTGAATAATTACTGAGTTGTGCATGATGTTTGCAGACAATAAAATAATCAACAAAGATAAAATGTCCCGAAGGGATTAATATTTTTTGTATATAACAGGTTTAATTTTCATAATGTTCATTTGGAACAGACTTTTTAATAGGGCCTGTAGATACAGGACAAGAGGTAATGGTTGTAAACTCAGGGTAGATTCAGACTAGGTGCAAGGAAGGCATTTTTCACAAGTGTGGTGAAACACTGGAACAAGTTGCCCCGAGAGGTGGTGAACAGCCCATGCCTGGAAACATTCAAGGTCAGGTTGGACTGGGCTCTGGGCAACGTGATGTGGGTGATGATGTCCCAGCTCATTGCAGGGGAATTGGACTAGTTGACCATTAAAGGTCCCATCCAACCCAACCATTTTATGATTTGTGTAGTTCCTGTGCATGTATAAACATATGCCAGCATTTGCAGACTGATGGCTTCAAAAGTGAGAAAACCAAAGTCACTGAGAAAATGAAACTCATAGATATTTCATGAATCCAATGTTCTACAGTTGTCTATAAACATACTTTACTATGAGTTCATGTAGCACCTGCCTTAATACTTCTTTGCACTACTGACATCTCTGGCTATGAGAAAGAGACAATTCAGTGGATGAAACTGTATCAAATTTTCTACCTCCTTTTTCTGAGTGGTGCTTTCAATCACACACAACCATCCTGTTTCTCTATTCTGCTACCTCTTGAGAATTGATGTGGTACCAAAGATTTTCTAAATAACTTTTATAATGTAGTGTTAGGGAATTCTACTAACAACAGAAAATATTATTAAATCCTTGGCATTGCTGCTATAGTAAAACCCAGGTCTTCAGTATTTACAAAACTTCCTTTGGGTATAAGCTAAAAGGAGAAAAACTTTATACAGCATCTGTGTTTTTTCATTGCCTTAATTTGTGGAAGCGTAAAGATTGGTTTTCTCTACTGAATCAATTGTGAATGGGTTTGATAACCCCGCTTTTTTATTCCTAATTGAAACAATGATCAGAAAACTTTGTCATCAGAGACTAGTGAGAGAGAAGGTAATTGAGAATATTACTTTGTAATTGCATTATCTATTCTTTGTTATCCAGTCTTTGGTGTATCTAAGTACATCATATACATTTATATGTATATGTACCTGTGTGTATAATACAAACATACATCAATATAGATATGAATTTGTATAAATCTTAACCAGTTTTGTCCAAAAGATTATTTTATCTCACAGACAATGTTATTAATACCACATGAAATAATATCTTTTTAAGGTCAGATTTTCATCATACACTCTGCTAACATGGGAAAAAGGAATCTATAATTTCTTTGTTAGACAAGGTGTTAAGAAAGATTACCTGATGTATTCTGAGCTTTTCTTCAGTTTTGTAGAAAAATATTTTATGGCTTTTTCTCCTCCAAAGTTTGAGTAGGTGACAGTGGTAGGATAATCTGTTTCTTCACATGGGACAGGGCAAGTGGAATTGTGTGTTCCTACTGTACATAATCCTTTTATCTCTATATCATCTGAAATTTCAGAAGAAATAATTTTATATAATATTTTTTAAAAAGCAAACAGTTTAAAAACTTTAGAAAAATACTTACTAAATTACTTTTAATTGGCTTTGATAATGTGTGGAGTAATTATCCCAGGAAAACTGGGTACTTACCGGTGTTGAAGGATCAAATAAGTATTTGCAACTCTCATTTGGGAAACTGCTGCACAAAAACGAGAGTTGAGATATTTTTCTCATTTTTTCCAAAGAAATACAGCACCTCCAAGTCTTTCTGCCTTCACTGGGGCTTTATGTGCTTATTATTTCTCACCCGCAGTTAAACAAAAAGACAACAGAAGACTTTCCATGTTCTGTGCTAGCTTTTTAATTAAATACTTAGGTATATATCCTTGGTCTTGATGCCTTAGTGCCTACCCAGCTCTTTTCAGTGCACAGAAACACTTCCAGAGCAATTCCATCTGTAGTTTGCTACCATCTGATAACTATGAAAACCTTGCTTAGCTAAGTTCACTTTACCTTAACCCCTGCCTGCCCTTTCATAATTGGGCTCAAGACAGCTAAGAAGGCTTAGGGAAAGCTTTGTCTCTTCAAATACTGAAGAGAAGTCATGAAATTCTGCAGGTCTGGCTGCCATGAAACTGGGGAGCCATTTGTTTTAACAAGGAATTACAGAAAGGATTACAGAAATCTGGCAAAGCTAGATTAAAAAAAAAAATTGTGGATTAAAAATTAAAAATTTGTGGATTAAAAATTGTAAGGCATAAATGTTTCCTAAATCATAAGCCATCACTGTGAGATGAGTACTGTGATCTCCTGCTTGTGATGCTCTATTTGTCCTGTTTGTGGGGTGGCAGAGGCTGTGTCTGTTCACTCTGCTTGTGGGCTTCTCACTTTTGCAAAGCGCAGAGAAGGAGATATCTCAGCTTGCTAGCTGATGATTTGAAATACTCTCTAGGGATGTTGGGATTGTGGATTTTATTCTGGAGAGGCAGCCTTTATTGCTCCTAAAATAGTGTTCTTAGTGGGTCCTGCAAATACTGGATAAGTGTGCTGTCACTTGAGATTTTGTTACCATATGTCTCCAACACTGTCAAAGGAGAGTCAGCCCCTAAAATGAGATCTCAGGGACCATATATCTACAAACCTTCTGGGATCCAGCTCTGAATCCTGTTCATCCTTCAGAGGAATTTGGGGTCATTTTTGCTTATTGCTCTGTGGTTTCTTTGACATTCAGTCACTGAATATCTATTAAGTAAAATAATATGCATCTTCCCTCATGACAGGCTTTTAAGGATCATGGTTATATAAGAATGTGAACTTAGTGGAATCCATTTTAAAATAGCTTACAGGGAAAAAAAAAAAAGGAATTGTTCACAGTAGTAGATCTGGCCTGAATGTTGCACACACCTTATCAAAACAGTCCCCCCCACCAACTTCTGAGTCTACTAATCACTCGGAGAGAGTCACATTACACAATAGAAACCAAACCAATTTAAAAAGAAAGCTTTCTGAAGTTCAGGAAAAGTTACTTCTCAGATTACCATTTTGAGTATTTTCCAGTCTGTTGCAGTGACTTACAAATTTCATACCCACTGTGCATAGATTATTTGTTTCTGGAAAAGAATTGCATTTCGAGCGCTTTCAAAATTTATAATTTACTTGTAAATTTATAAAACCTTAAAGCCAGCGATTTATGTTTTACCTGTTAACAAACCTGTTATTACTGTACTGTTCATTCTGCTTGCACAAAGAATACAACATTGCATCTAGAAGGTTACCGTGAAGATGTGAAAATGCTAGCCAGAGGCTGGTAATTGAAAACAGATTAGTTGTATATGTATATATATATATATATACACACACAAACACATATTTTTGGAGTATTGTTTTGTGTGGTTTGTTTGTTTTTTAATGGGCTTACATTTCATGCTCTGTCTGGTCTCTGTTTTCAGAATATTAAATGAACTGGGATGTACTCCATTTCAGATTACTTTCAGTATTTAGATTTAATTGATAGATATTGTCTACTATTTGGAGATCATGAATATGAAGTTATTACTTACAGACTGCAGGATAAACACATTTGTAAAACTTCAGCAAGTCACATTCTGTTCCATTTCCTAAAAATAAATAAAAATATTTAGGAGCCTCAATTACCTTCTAACCCTTAGCTCTATTTGTACTAAACTGAAATGTAATGTCATCAAAGCCTGCTCACCGCTTCACGTTAATGATTACACAACTGAGAAATCAATTCAGGTGGGCACAGTGCAGTTGCCAACACCAGGAGGGGTACAGGCTGAAGAGACACAACAGACCAAGCCAGGAGGCTGCTGCTGGAGCAAGCACCTTCATTATGTGTACCAGCCTGAACTGCCTTTAAGCTTAAGAGTGGCACACTCTTTGTGTTAGCATGCTAAAGACAGGAATTTCTGCTCTTCCTAGTGAAAATGAACAAAAATCTCCAAAGTAAGATAGATATGAGATTACATCCCATGTGTTTCTGCAGAAATTTTAAACTCCATGCAGGAGTTTTTTGGGGATGCAGGGGATAAGATAGTATGCTGAGCTAGAGCAAAATTTTCAGTTGGCCTCAGTTTCACCCCATTTTAAAATTTTTTTCCATCACACGGAAATTTTGTGTAGCAGTTTAGCACACAGTTCCAGAAGGCATTGCTCTCCTTTATCTAACTGTCCTCGTATAAAGTTGTATAAAGCTGTCACCCCAGGCATGGGAGACCCAGACTTAGCTGTCTTGGCAACCCCTTTTCCATGAGAGTTTGCAGAAGACTGCCAACCTCCTTTCCCAGGGGTTCTCAAACTAACAGGCTAGAGATTACACATTGATGGGTCTACTTTAGTAAGGGTATTCTGCCTTGCTTGAGCATATTTAAAAAATACAATGAGACAGTACAGGCATTCTTCTGGCTTTTCTTGTGATCTAGTGGCTTTCTTGCCCACCAGTTGTGAAAAGAGGTGCAAGAACAGAGATCTGGGTTCCAGGGTTGCTTTAGGTGACAGTATTGTCATTCATGCTGAAAAGGTGTGAGAGCTCAGTGTTACTGCTTGACATTTCTAGAGTAATTAAGAAGCCTGGATACTTTAGGGGAGTATTACAGCATGCACCTGGTGCTCCACATTTGCAGCTGATTAGAAGGCTTCATGCAGCATTTTTGGCTTTTATAGAGCCTTTGCTGCTGCCAGGCTCCTTCTGTGGCTCATGTAGGAGTCCTGAGATTCTGTCTTCAAGCAAGCTCTTCTGCTGTGGCTGCTGAGCACCTGCCTGCAAAGTAAGCTGCCTGGATTATGTGTGAAAATGTATGCCTTCTTATGGATTTAGTTCCAGCTCTTTAGGAAGTCAGGTTGAAGACTACAGACCTGTCTCACACTCCTGAGGCATAATTGTTTCTTTCTATTTTTTGAACTGTATCCTAAGAATAGACAATGATCCAGATGCTAAGTCTAGGCTTGACCAAATATCTTGCTTGTTTCCTTGGAATTTCAATTAATATCAACTGGCGATTTCCCTCAAATATATGCTCTATCTCCTTGGCTATTCAGTAACGTGAGGTCTCCAGGAAGATGATCAGTGTGTGGTATGATGATACTCCTGAGAAATACCTGGAAGAATGAATGGCAAACAGCCACACCAGTCCTGTATGTACCGGGCTTTGCATTCCAACAAACATCCATTAGTGCTATAAATCTTGTGGTACTGAAGCTTCATATCAGGCTTGCACTCTCCCCATGGGTATTCTTGGATAATTGACTGTAGGGTAATAATAACAAAACATACAGGTTTTTTGGGTCTGTTTTAAACCTTGGTATTGTTTTTCCACATTTTGAAGTGCTGCAGGAAGCCTGTTGAAGACATAAGCTGTAACATTGTGATTTAATTAGAGGCGATTACAGTTCATACTCTTGGGATTAAAAGTTCATCTCCCCTCTCTCAAAGCAAAAGTAGGGCCTGATTAGACAGCTTAGTGCAAAATGGTACTCCACTCTACTTGAATTCCACTAGGAATGTGAGACCCCCTTAATGGTAGCAGAATGTATTAGGGAAATTCTGTGGTGTCTTTTTATCATTGTCTATCAATGATGTTGTAAAGTTACAGGAAATAAAGGCTGACTTTGATAGAAGCAATTGATAGAGGCAATTTGATAGAGAAATTAGGAAAACCAGTGATATTCTCCCAAAGAGCAGTAATTTCATTTATGTCTGGAGGGAATGTTATCTTTTGGAGTCACTAAGTCATAATAAATGTTTTACATTACACAATGGTTGATTCATTGTTAGTGCTTCAGAAGAGAATTGGAGACAGTAAAAGCCACTACTAGCAGTCCATGGGCAAAGCCCTTACCTTCAGCTGGCGGATGGCAACCTGTGCATGCGTCCCCACTGGTGTCAGTAAACCTAAACCATCAAAGCGTGGAAGCTCTTGGGGTGAATGGATAACGAAAGTTATTCCAGCATCAGTATAACCAAGAGTAGGTTCGTCAGTGAATTTGTCCTGATACAAAAAGAATTGTTTAAAGTAGTTTTGGCTTTGCTCGCCATCTGAACTTTTAGCTATATTTATTGTGATACTATGCTCTTTAGTAGCATTTTTGGCAATTTACAGGAAAGTGTAAAAGCAAACTGACTTGAATTTCCTTTGTTCATTAGCTCTGTGGGTTTCCTTCCAGTTGCTATAAGCTTTTAACCTTTCTATTCTTTTTGTCATCCCCCAATTTTAAACATATGAAGTCATAGATGAACATTACTTATAACTTGGGGATTTATTCCTTTTACTTGCAACTACCCATCACATTTCACTAAACTTTCCATTATTCTCTTCAGAACCTTTCACTCCTGACTCATAATTCCTAGAGAACAAAAGCCAATGTCTAAGTAATTTATCAATCTGTTAGTTTTCTTCCCTGTTCTCACAAGGTGACATTCCCTGTACTCCGCTTTTTTGTTGGTCAAAGACGATTCTAATGTCAGAAACAATTTACTGTGCAAAGGTCTTGGATGGCATTGAGCTGCTGCAGCTGCTGTAACTAAAATTTGGTGCTACTTAGAAACTGGCACCAGGTGACCTTCTCTTCTGGGTCTTTTATTAAGCTGAAGAGCTTGTATAAAATTAATCACTCTTCTGATGACATGTTTCAGTTCTGGGTGAACAGTGCATGTGCATGCTCACTCACAATCTTCTTCCTCTCAGCTGGGGACAGAGTCACTAATAATTTTGTCTTTTTAGATATCTGTTTGGGTCTTTCCTTTAAAACAAAACAAAACAAAAAACAAAAAACAAAACAAAAACAAACAAAAAATAAAAAAAAAAAAAGAAAAAACAAAACAAAACAAAAAAAGCCTCCACTAATTTATAAGTTAGTATGTGATTCATTACTTATAATCCTTAGGATAACTGTACCTGCTGGACATCAAAAAGCAAATGTAAGCCTCTTCCAGACAAACTCACTCTTCTTGCTGAAAGATCATTGTGATTAAAAGTAAAGCAGTTTCCATATTCAGTGAAAACATGTTCAAAATCCTTCAATAAAGGAAAATAGGGAAGAGTGAAATGAAAGAAAGAACACTTGCAGTTTCCTTAGTTAATTACAATGCAAGAAAGGGGCTACTGGGGTTGGTGTTGGGTTATTTTGTTTTATTTTTTCCTCCAAAGTACTCAATATTACAATGAGAAAAGTGGTTTTTAATGAAATATTTGAAAGTATTTCAGCCCTTTCTATAGCAAATGAAGTTTAAAGGAAAAATTTCACATTGTTCATTAATACTTATGAGCTGCTCAGAATAATTTAATGAGGTCCTGTGTTATTTCTATACCTGTTACATTATATAGAAATTATATATTCAGAAATAACTTTTATTTTTTGCCCATTAGCTGTTAGTGAAGACTGTTTCAAAACTGACATGTTATATATGAAATTGCATTTTTTCCTGAAACCACCTTGTAATTTAATATGACTGCATCTCACTGCTTTAGTTTTAGTTCTTAGCACTAGTGTCTTCCAGTTAAGAGAAGTCTCTAATGCCTAATTTTAGAAACTACAGCAAATCTAAAGGTTACATTAAACTGAAAGGGTATAGACCTGTCTTCTTTGTTCACATTTTCTGTCTAAGTCATTCCTTTACAGAAGAATTGGCATTAAAATGGAGTGATCATATTTTTTGGCTGTTGTCTCAAATTCCCAAAGATGGGCTATTTTGTTTTCAATAGTAAAATTCCTGTTACCCTGGCTGTCTATATTCTTAACCTCAAGAACAAAACCACAGAATCACGTCATACAAAAAAACTTGGTACAAACTGTCCTTCATTATAGGCCACTGATGGAAAAGGTTGTTAGATACAGCCTGGAGGTACGACAGCTTTCAAAGGCTGCTCTCCGTGCAGAAGTGGCACAGAGAGCAATTTAAACTGAAATCCATCCCATCTTCCAGCTCAGAGAGTCCAGCAGGCTGCCTCTGTAGTCAGTGGGAGAATTGAGACCCTCAGGGTAATTTCGAGCAGGACTTTTCTTCTCTATTTTCTGACTGTAAAAGAGCATAGGGGAGCAGCTGGCAAAGCTAGATGTCTTAAGTTAAGAATATATCCCCTTCTTCTCTGAGCTATTGTTTTAATAAAATAAGCATATTTACCTGTGGGTAACATGGCTTTCCAAAAAAATCACATTCTAGCAATGTGCTGCTGTTCAGATAAAAACCATTTTTCCTTGTAAAGTCTTTGATGCTGAAGTTCTGGTTCCCAAGAAGGAAATCATTTAACTCCTGGGAATATTTGTCTTCCATAGCAAATTTTTGGAGAATTGCAGATACAATGTTCCAAATTAAAAAAATTACTTTCAGGTTGCTCACAGCATGAGCTTGAAACCTGTCAGTGAGAAGGAGAAAGAATTGCTTGGGATTCTGTAGTTATAGGACTGATCTCAAGGCTGCTTTTGACAAAACTGTGACACAAGTTGCTGTCTGCTCACAAACTATAACTGATTCTTGCCCAACAGGTTGCAGTTTGATCCCTACAACATGAATAAACAATATAGTCCCTATCTCTAGGATTGTATCTTCCACATCTGGAAACAGCAAATAGACACCTTCCCGTGGCTATTCTGGTCAGTCATACTGGAAACAATTCCGTTGTGTGTGATTGTTTACTAAGCATTAAAAACTAAATCCCCTGAGTAGATGAACCATTCACATAAACCAACAACAAGATTAGTAGAACTGATGACAAGCTGAACAATTGTGTTTACATGTGGGAAACTATCTGAGAGGAACTGTCCCATTCAGTGGGAAAAAAAAAAAAAAAAGCTGTTTTCCTTAATTTAGAAAATTGAATTCTAAGCACATTTGCTTAGTCTCATGTACCTGCTTTACTAAGGCACTGCACCCCACTGTAGACAGTGTACCTTCCTATGAGCTGGTGGCACAGTGGTTAAAATCAAAGGTGACCTTTACTCTTTGAATCTACTTGAAAAGTCTCAAAAATGTGATGAGACTTTGGTGGTGCTTTCCTTATGTACAGCATTGAAGTTCTTTATTGAAGTAAAGTAAGGCTTTACAGAAGTTATAAAGTTATTTTTTAAACAGTATTAATGTAACATATTTGTGTAATAGATCTAAATGCCTCAATTTAAGGAAGGTTAGTAGGAACAGCTCTTCACCACTAAATTTGAGTCAAAAAATAAAGGAAGTGCTGTGCCTCTTTGTCCTGCTGATGAAAAAAGCCCAGTTAATAAAAACAGGAGGGGAGGATAAGCACAGCATGACTGGCAGATGGATATGGCCGCAAACTGTTATTTAGATGGAAAAGTGCCGTGCTCAGTAGCTGACTCCTTACAGAGTGCTGCTGCTATAGTTACAAGAGGTGAGGCACGTTTATAACAGCCAGAGGGATTTCTGTCTGCAGTGCATGTCGTGTGATATAACCCAGGGTAGCTTTATGCAGGAAATAGGGAGATGGCAGAATGACTCCAGGTCTTTGAGATTTGGACTTCTGGCTGATTCTGCCAGCAAAAGGTGGAAAATGAGAAAACTTACTAATTTTTGAGGGAAAAAAATGTGGATAAACTTTCTGTGTTTCTAAAACTGTTCCTAAATTATGTTTTTGCTCTAAAAATCAGGCCAAAATTCATTAAATTATTTTTGAAGTGGCTGTGCTGAATGTTAGCCACTGTCTTCAAATGTAGAAATCTATAATGAAGTTCTTGTTTAGGCACATGATTTCCAAACAAAGCAAATGATTTCTTACAGACATCAGCTGGTGTTGTAAAGGCCGAGTACCTCTGAAAAAAGGTATTTTACCTGAGGTGTTTTACGTAAAAAAATCTGTTTTACCTAAGATTCTTACCTTTGCATGAAGCTTCTATTTAAAATCATTTGTTAATCTTGTCTTTTATTTTTAGCTTGGATGTGGCTGATGGCTGTCCCTTAGTTACACTGAAAAGCAACACTCATATGTAGAACACTTACTACCAGAGATTTTCTATTCCAACTTCTGTTGTGAAACTTAAAAACCATGTCATCTGAAGGAAGGGGAAGATTATAAAAGCAACATTCTTTTCTTGATTCTCATATTTTCATCTTCTTTTAAGTATTGTGTGGTGGTGTGGAAGACATGCCCCTCATAGCCATATTTTCCTTGGTTTATGTGATTTGTCCAGTCAAGTTGTGGAACCTGACTGCTTTCAGATGAAGATGTGTTGTGTCTCAAGAGCAAACACCAAGCGTAATCTTTACCTGTTCAAGTTGCAGAAGGTCACAGCGGGGAATTTGACTTTTTCCACGTACTGAACCACCACTGTAGTTGTGGTTGGCCAGCTGAAGTAGTAGATGAGGCGACTGCAGATCTGCCAGACAACAATGGCAAGGCAGCCTGCGACTATCAGCAGCCACAGTGCCCTGCGAACCTTGCTCTGCCTGTGGACAATGTTATGCACGCCATGAAATGAAGTGGATGAGGCAAACTCCTCGTGATATTTCCTTCTGTCTTCCAAATCTGGCAGCAGTTTCTTTATTAAACACAATCGTATCTTTCCCAGTATTCCTGAATGTGAAAGAAAGTTAAAATTAAAAAAAAAAATAGTGTTTAGCCATCACTTAAAAAAAGGAATCCACATAATTCTGATGTAAATTTTCCCTTGAATTGTAAATTATCTCTTTAAGTAATGAACTTGCTTCTGAGGATGGAAGAGTTGTGTGCTAAGAGGTGGGCTCAGTGTTGCCCTGAATATAAAGTATATCTTGCAGTATTTCAAGTCCACAAGTGCATTTAAGCACTTTAATTTAAAAAAGCATAGCTCCACGTCTGGGGGAAAGATAGGATTTTGACATACCTCAGGGCTCTAAAACCATACATTGCTGTAAGCTTATGTGAAAAGTTAAACATCTCATTTTTACAGTAACAACTCCATAAAGAACTGGTTCTTCACACATGCTGTGACAAATTAAGTTTAAAATGAATGATATGGAATGATATGAAAGGAAATTTCACTCTTTGACTATTAAAATTTTCAAGATAAGAATTGGAAGGTTGCAGGTTCAAAAGAATATCTAATCTCATTTTCTTAGGTTCACACTTGTCTGATTCCATAACTTTGAAATGGGATGGGTTTAGTTTTCATTTGCATCATGTTTTCTATAAACTGATAATAAAATAAACCAAACCAAACAATTTTTAAAGCTAAGTTGAAGGGCTACACCAATAATGAATGTAGTCAATACCTGGAACTGCAGTAACTTTCCTATGCTTAATGCTGAATAATCTTTTGGACATGGATTTAAATATTATTTTCTCTCCCAAAATATCCAAAGAAGGGAAACTTCATGAGAACTTTTTTGTATCTTCTCAGAATTGGATCACACTTTTTGGTAAGTTCTTCTTTTGTGGATTGCCATCCACTACTTTTTTTTGGCATTAAGTCCATAAGAACAGTAAATCAAAGACAGTTTGTAAAACAGTTTTTAATATCTGAAAATGTATTATGTAGCTCAGTGTTTAACAGCAATTAAATGCTTCCCTTCTGTTTTTATCCAAAAATTAGGTTTAATTGTTTGCATGTGTGGTAGGAAGAGAATATAGCCTTTTTAAGACTGGGTTACTTGAGGCTATTACAGCTGGGCAAAGGAACAAAGGGATGTGAGAGTCATCTGCCAGAGCCACATCAGCCACATGGTGACCACATCAGTACTCTGGGGCGTTTCTTTGGTCCACAGTCTCTGGACCATGATAACAAAATCCCAGATGGTGCTGGATTTCAAAATGTTTCTGAAGGGAAAGAATTTATTTTATGCTGCTCTTTTAAGGTCTGTGTAAGTACTTTGATCAATGTTATGTAATTTACTATGACCTCGTTTTATCATCAGAGAATTTTCCTCTACAAAACTGTTCAAAAGTTTCTCTCCTAGCTCTAGTGACTGTTGGAGCCCACTGCAAATCTGTTCAGCCATGTGTGGTTTTGTACATCTTGCTGGAATGGAGAAGATTTCTGGTTTTGCTGTAGGCTTCTCTCTCACTAGCACGTGGGCAATGGGACAAGCTCTTTGCATGTTCCCTGAAAAAGAGCAGAGGGAGATGTTCCTAACATGTCTACATCTGCTGCCTGTAGACTCCAACAGGAGATCACAGGCAATTCAGATCCTTTTCTTCAAGACAGTGCTGTGGGTGTTCATTTCTCCTGTATGCACTGTGCTAGGTATGAGAATGACAACATGTCCCTACTTAGAAGTCCAGTGCCATAAAAACCACTAGTTACCTTAATCAGCAGAGATGTAACTTTGAATCTAAGCAAACAGGAAGCTAAGCTGTATTTCAGCTCTTATGCATAGCTAGTACAGTAAATACTAGTAAGTAAAAATGATGTTTCACCTGAGAAAAACATTAAAAGTTTTGTTAAAATTTTGGTTTTAATGTATAGGATTGTCTAATAATAGCATGCTGCTGTTTTCATTAGCACTACTTTGTGAATGTCTTAAAGAATCCTTACTCTACTTTCAGATTTCTTTAGAAAATGCTATTTAGCAATTCCCTAGTTAAAAATGTATTGCTTTATTCTAAATACACAGAGGGCCAATAGCTAAAGGCTTTTTAAATTTCTTAAATAAGCTTACACATTTTTTCCTACAAGCTTTTTTGAGCTCTCCCTTCTTTGCTCTCTCTTGAAAAGGTACATTATTGCTACTTTTGGACAAGATGACAAATAACAAAGCTCTTGGTAAAGTACTCTAATATACCTAGTTACATACCTTTGGCATCCAATTGAATGAATCTCCTGAGCTGTTCCATGAGGCCGTGCTTATTTCAGTAGGGAAGGGATGGATAAGAAGCTGCCTTACCACTGTGATCACTGCTAGGTAATGGCTTTTATAGAACACTAAGTGGGAGGTGATTCTCAGTGACACCTGGGAGTGGGTAATTTACCTGCTGGGGTTGCTATGTTTTGCCTTTTATTAACATTGTCTGCAATGTGAAGGAGATAATTTTGATTACAGGATCAGATGTACACATTTACATACATTTTAGTTACTTATTATGCTAATAGTAGTACAAGTGCATTGTGTATTGCATCACCTTACAAATTTCTTTCATATATTTTCCTTTGGTTTTAGAAAGGCCTATGATCTTTGCTAAAATACTGTGCTGTTCAGAACTGAATAGCTTCTCTTGAAATAAATAAGGAGCCCCTTGCTGGTCTGGAGAGCAGTAAATGTCTCTCTCTAGGTTCCTAGCAGGAACAGGATGCAGTTTATCCACACTTTGAATAGCTGTCTTCATAACCAGCTCCAGATTTCATGTTCTTGTGCACATTTCAGCAAAAATGAGCTGTTACTCCTAAGACTTAACCCTGTAGGCAAGGATGAATATACATGCAGGTCAATCATTCCAGCAAGGCCTTATGCAAAAGGCTTATGCAGAGGCTGCTTTTTTGCTAATGTGCAAAATTATCTAGTTTGAAATTTATTTCAAGAAAAGAGCTGAACATCTAATAAAAGTGCATAAAAATACTAGAAGTTTCAAACCTGGGATGTACTTGATTAATGCTTTAGGAAAAATAAGAAAAGAGCTCCCTCACATTCTCTTTCTGATCACTTCTTTCCCTCTGTTAGTAATAGTCCCATTGGTCACCTACAGAGTTCTTGGGTTGCCAGGTGCATCAGCTTGGGTCCTTGGTGCCTCACTGCCCGGTTGTTTGCTATTTTCTGGCTGTGTTCTTAACACTACAAGCAACGAGGTAAAGCACTGAACTCCATTTAATTATTCCTGGCTGAAATATTCTGTATTCTACTGCTTGGAATTCCCAGCTCCATTTGTCACTGTTGCCTCACTGGTGGGATTTTCTGCCAGGGCAAGTTTTGCACAGCACTTGTGTTGACACAAGCAGTTTTTAAAGATGTTTGTAACTTGAGCCCAACTGGTGCTCTGCTGAGCAGTTTCTGAGCCCTGCAGATCCATTGACTCCTATTAATGCAAACCACTGTAATTCACAGAACACAGACAACACCTCTTGCCTGAGTTGCTTGAGTTCATAAAACAAGTTATGTAAATCTTTTATACTGTTATGTGTATAGAATTAAGAAGTACACACTGTAAGTTACTTGGCTCTATATACAGCAAGTGATTAAACTTTTTTTTAAATTGTGTTACAAAGAATTGTTATGCTTATGCAATACTTTAGATGAACAAGGCTTATGTTGTCCCCTTGTGTTTTACATAAGAAATTGATTTTGAAAAATTTGAAAAATTTCTTTCTTTTACAGTTGTTTTATATTAATTCTTAAGCAAACACTAAGGGGCGAAGACCAACCATCTTATGTTTGTTCATCCTTCCCAAATGGTTTGGACAAACAGGTTCCAGGTTATAGACTGGTCACAGGCAGCCTGCTCTGGCCACTCACTCCTAGCATATGTATCTAGTTATTAAAACCACACATTCCCTAATACCTAATGCAGTAAAGATAGGAAAACCAACTGTTGACTGAGGCGGTCGCTGTTTTTTGCATTCACGCATAATGCAAATTTTGTACTCAAATTACTTGAAGTCAATCTTAAGTTTTGTTCAGTTCTTATGTTATGGTGCTAAATTAAAAAGTAATGCTGCAGCCAGTGTAACTACTTAGTTATTTCCTGAGACAAATAGATAACATGTTTCTGATAAAGTTAATTCTTTATAGCCTAGTTACAGCAAAATGTCTTCTGAGAATTCTTATGGGTTGCTGAGATAAAATGCATGCGTACACAAGTATGTATTTGGTGTATATTTAGCTTTCATTGGACAATATTGTATTTTTTAGAATATATTAAAGTGTTTCTTTCCAATGCCTGTTACATTGCATGACCCTCTATAAGTGCTTTTTTGAGATTAATGCTTCTGATGTTTTGCTTAGCTCTCTCTTTTAATAGAAGCATCTCAAATATTATCTAGTTTTAAGACAGAAGTAATGCATTTGCTAATATGGCAGACTTCAAATACTTTTACTCAATTAGTGCAAAAATATTAGCAGAAAAAGGCAAAACAGGAAAAAACCAATGGAGTGATCCACTACCTGGATTCTTATAAAGTATTGTCATTGCCATTTCATGGAATGCTGGTAACTAATAGTATATGCAAGCATCTGTCTTGCTCCTTCCTTTAAGCTTGTGCTGAAAGTGGATTCAGCAATGGGGGGCAGGAGGGGCTGCAGCAGGAGGTGCTCAAGGAGAGTTTGAGGACTCATTGAGTCTCTCTCTACACTGATGAGGAATCAGCTATGACTGGATAAATCATGAGCTCTCATCATTGTTTTCTAATGCATGAAGATGCTAGAATTTCCTTATTTTTTGTTTTCTTATGTCTTTGTTATCCTGCCGTAATTTAAACTGGTTACTCCTTTTCCCATCCTGCGGTGCACTGGAAGTTGCTTATTGCCCTTCCTTTTGAAAAGAAATTATTTCTCACTTTTCCATCCATAATCTTCTCCTAGTTATACAGGTCAATTTTTTCCATCTTTCTTAAGGGGCCATATTTTCTACATCAAATACTCATTGTTCTTGACATCCTCTTCTGAACCCTTTCCACATTGTCTTCATCTGTCTTGAAGAGTGGTGCCCAGGACATAATATAACAGATAAAGTCTTTCTGATGTTGGATAGAAATGAGGGGTTCCATGCCATGTAGACAGTTGCTATTTAAAAATTTCAGTATAAGATTTTCCCTAAAGAACTTCTTATTTGTAAGTTTGTTTATCATGGCTGAAGTTCAAAAGTATTGCTCTTTGCATCACAGAAGCTGCACATTATTAATTTCAGTGCATTAAGGTAATTCTGAATTCCAGCTCCTACCTGCCAGCATGCTATCAGACTTTCCAGGCTGCTCTTATTTGTCAGTTTAAGAAGAGCACAACCTATTCCATCACCCCATCAGTTAATGATATTGCTGAATAGGATGAGATGAGCACATTTTTGTCAACGTTTGTCCTAAACCAGCCCTTTGCACTTGCCAGAGAGCTGTACCATGGAGTAAACAGCAACACGAGCTGAGCCACGTGGAGGCATGGGAGTAGCTTATGGTTCCAGGTTTGTGCTTCACTGGACCTGACAGGTAACCAGGATTGGGGTGTTCAGGAGGGGAAAAACAGCCTAAAGAATGATATATGTTATATACTAAAGCACTGCACCCTGCAATGTATGCCTGCAAGGCATTAGTAGAGGATAGGTCTGCCTTGGGACAACACTGTGGAATGTGTTCAAGATATTTTATTTCTCCTAAGTTTGCAGTTCCAGCTGGCATTGATCCACTTACATTGATGAAAGCAGGGTGTTTGGGCAATAGAAGTGAAAGAACATTTTTTCCATACATGGGGAATAATTATCAGTCAAGAATTATCAGCATGTGAAAGAAATACTGCTGCATTCTGCTGAGCCACAAATGAGAGACGATGGGGGGAAGCTTGTGCTGGGATGTGTGAAACATAAATGTAAGTTAAAGGTATTCTGGGAAGTGATGACACAGTTCTTTGTGTTTAAGAATTTGAACAAATGCAGTATTTAGAAAGAAAAAAAAAATCTTTCCAGCACTATCTCCTCTCTTTGTTTGCAGTTTGCAAGACCTTGATCTCTGTTCCTCCCCCAGGTACAAATGTCTGATTGGATTATTAATATTGCATCAACTTTAAGCTTGTTTGTTTTAGCCTGGAGTCACCAAATTTTAGTTTTGTTAAAACCAACTGTTAATTTCAAGTGCCAGTTAGATAGTAAGTCCAGTTTGGAAAATCACAAAACACGCAGAGGATACATTTCATTTCCAAGTTTATCTTCTGCTCTTCACTTTTATTTTATGTGTCTTTATTCACATATATCTTGCTATGTTATTATTGGGTGAGGAAGTGATTTTTGTTCAGTGCTGGCAGAATAGCTAGCACAGTGAAGTTCTGGCTTGGGACACTGGAGGCCTCACCTCTACAATTTGAGTTGCACTTTGTCAGCCACAACAGTAGCTGCTGTACTGTATTTCACTATTATAGTTGTGTGTTTGTTATCAAATTATTTCATCACTATAATTTTATGAAATTACAATGCAACATCTGTATGTAGAAAAGATATTTTCCTTCTGAGTGCTTTGTCTTACAAAGGTCCCAGCAGAATCTGCACAAATGCAGAACAGGGTGACTGGGACTACAAAGTTTAGTGCACCTATTTCTCATTAGCCATGAATTAATACCAAACAGAAATGAAAATTACTTGATTATTTGGCAGGGAGTTTGAAACTTGCACATGGAAACACTCCTTCACATGATATGTACTTCAGTTATGGAACTCATTGCTGCAGGTTGTGAATTCACAGAATCCACAAAAAGGTTGTTAAATGCAAGAATAAAGATATTTTAGGAAGTCCTGGGCTATCAAAATTGGAAAATTACATGAATATTCTGGGGAAATGATTGCACTGTAAGCTTGCTTGTAAGCTTGCTTTTTAGTTTGTTTGGGTCGTGTTTTGGTTTGTTTTGGTTTGTTTTTTTGCTGATGGTGTTTTGTTTTGTTTTTTAATTTGTTTGTTTCCTTTGTTCTAATAGCCCTTCCCAAAAAATCTTTTACTTTCTCTTCGAAATTTCTCAGCATGGCATGACCTACTTGGCTCTTTGACTCGCTGCAAGCATTGTTACATAGGTAGAAGCCATGTGTGCTGGGTAGCTCCTAGTCTGCAATTGTTAACAAGAGTGTTGGGAAGCTTCAAGCGTCATTTGTTTGCAGTCAGAAGCTCTCTGAGCTCTTTCTTCAAGTTAGCAAACACTAGACAAACAAATTGATTTGTAGTGATTTTGTAATCAGGATGAGAGTTTGAGCAGTGGAATGGGTGACACTGTTCAAACCACTTGTGTGTGTACTTTTTCTGCTCCATAAGTGATTTCATGTAGGAAAACTTGAGATTTGGCTTGGGTGAACAGGTCACTCCCAATTCATGCTTTTTTTGGATTCATGACAGTATGTTGAAGGTCAGTCTTACTTACCTGTCCTCATCAGACCATAATGTTTCAGACAGAGAGCCCCACAGTGAGAACATGCAAACTCCTGGCTCTGGCTGTATCCATAAATCCCATAAATGATGCTGCAGGCCACCTCTGCCTTACAGTGAACCTGCCTCGGCCAGGCTGGAGAGAGGCTCCCTGTTTGCCCATATGAATCCCTTCTCTCAGTCCAAGTAAATTCAGTTTTTCTCTGCTTTGCAGCCCTATTGCAGCCAGTCCATCCACCCTGCATCCACCTGGGGAAGGGGAGGTAAATGGAAAGGGGGCCAGGGTGAATTAAGAGGGGTGCTTAATAATTCCCATGCTTTGTCATGAAGACCATGACAGTTCATTTGAAGGGGAGATAATAAAATTCTGAGAAGCTGTGGGGTTTTTTTTTTTTTTTTTTTTTTTTTTTGTTGTTGTTGTTGTTTTTTTAACTGTTGTATGTAACTGTTTGTCTTGTATTCGACCCAGTCACAGAACAGAACATTCTCACTGTCTGCTGAAGATTAGAGTCCTCTGTGATGAAAAGAAGGCTTTTTATCTGCCTTTCGTGTGTTAAATTAACAAATAACTAAATAAAAGCTCAAGGGCACAAACACTCTTGGTTTTCACAGCCTTGCTCAGTCATCTGCAGCATGAACAGCAAGTTATGTGTGTGGTTAGATCTGCTTCTTTGTGGTTCTGAGAGTTCAACATGAAAAAGGGAAATGAAGGTACGTTTTGAGAGATACCATAATTTAAAATTAAGGTTATGTTTTGCTTTCAGATACATTCACATTGAAAAGCTATTTTCAGCAAGACTTGCTTATGATTAGGCTAATAAGGAGAGATATAAAAGTGGCTATAAATCTCTGTCAGGATATAAAGGACACTCAAATAAAAATCAGGTCCCTACAGTGAGCCCCAAATTTGAGCAGCATGGCAGAAGTACATTTATTTCTAAAGGTATCTGCAGCCATGCCAGAGTTCAAGGCTCTGAGTTGATCCAAACCTGAGGGCTCTTGTAAGCTGTGCTGTCATCTACACTGCCAACAGACAGTTTCATAATCAGGTCATACAAGCCACTTAAATTATTTTACTACCAAGTTCATTACATGCTTTGAAGCCTTATCGAGATCAGATGAAGGCAGCCAGTAAGAGGAATGACCTTGTCTATGTCTGAAAACCATTGTGTATGGTTTTATTTCAGGGGTTTTCAAGTCCTCATCAAGATATCTTTTTCCACTGATCTTGGAGAGTTTGAGTTCTATTGTAGGTGCAATGGTTAGAGAGCTGAATTCAGCTAGTGTGAGATTAAATTTTCTTAAATGAATGGATGCAAATATTATCCATAATATTACCCATTTTTTTAGGAATTGGTCAGTCTACAGCTTTGGGACCAATCAGCTATGAGGTCCTTAAACAAGGATTTTGGCACGTTGAAAACACCGGAAAAAACTTTCTAAATTCCTCTTGTCTGGCTGATTTACTTGATTGACTGAAGCCTGTCTGTTGCTGAATTGGAAGGGGTGTTTGTATAGTTGTTGATTAGACAATATCCCCAGCTAGATTTCAAATGAGTTTGATAACCCTGAGTGAATTAATGGTACTATTACTTCCCAAATAGGGAGTTAATGTTTTGTTAACTTCAGTGTGTAAAAGGGCTCTGATACTTCAAAGTCCTTTGCCTGCTGGGTAGTCAATGTAAAGGTTGCTTGTCAGAAATCACTGCACCAGAAGTTTATAATTCTCTGTATTTCACAGAAGAAAATAAAACTGCACAAGAAAACACACATTAACATATTTTGTGATATTTTCCAACTGCCCTTATTTTCACTAGTTTCACATTTTTTCTTTCTTTGTGCCATGAGAAAAGATAACAGCTTGATTTCATTATGCAGTCTGGATGTTTCAGGTGAAGATACACAGGAATGACAAGATAAACCTTTTTCTTTTGAGATATAAGGACGTGCAAGATTTCCACAATTGTAAATCAAGCTGTTTGAGTGCAAATATGTGAAAAGTGGCTTTCAACATTTGATTTCTGATGTCCTCACTTTCATCTCTAGTTGTCCTCATCGGTGAGCACATGTGTAGGTGTGTGTAAGGAGAGGATTATTTTCTTCTGTCAGGTTTTATATCATGAAGGAAGAACTCCTTGACCTTGCTTGGTGAGTTGCTTCAGTGAAGTCTTACATTTCTTGTGGCTCAACTTAATTTTAAGCTGATTTGTGTAAAGCCTGACAAATGACATCTGGCTGAACAGGGTATCTATCCCATCACCACATCCTACATCTGCATTTTTTTAATGAGAAAACTACTCTTAAGTGACTGGAACAGCTGAAACCACCACACAGACACCACTAAGCAGAGTAAGTCTTGCAGAGAGCAAATGATCCAGGGTCACAGAGGTCCTGTAGTTTTGTTTGCAGTGAAACTGAGCATTAACTTTTTTTTTCAGAAAGGGCTGGCAGGCAAAAAGAAGTGTGTGCTAGTTACATGTTACTTCATTGTGTGTTAAGCTTATGACCAGATAGAATTGAGTAACATTTGTCAATAAATGAGACTGAAACTTTTGTGCAAGGAGGTAAAATTAAGAAATTATTCTGAGTTAAATACTTGGAAAATCAGCACGAGAGTTTCATGATGCTTTTAGTACTTTACTTAATGTGTGTACGTTTTTAAAAATTATATATATTATGTCAAATCTCTTTGAATAAGCACTGTTTAGTCTGCCATGGAAACACGTTTTCCCACTTCTCTCCCCAGCCCTCTTTTCTCTTCCCATGTATCTGATTTTTTTAAACTTAATAGTATTCTGATAGAAAAGGCTGCAGGTTGAAAACCTACTCTAACACTTCGTGCTTTTATTAAATATTGCCTTTTTATCACACACAGACCTCTCATTGACTTATACCTTAAACACTACACCATACAACTGCATCCAAAGGAGCAACTGGTGGAAACCTCACAGTAAAAAGCACAAAAATCTTGTGCCATAGGACAAAACAAGCATGTCATCCATTCATTTTTTAACTGGCAGAGAAAAAACACAGTCCTGGAGAGCCAACACCACATGAACTTCCTGACCTTTGTGCTGTGATAGTTTCTGTCATTATTGAATAGTGGGGATGGGCTGAGGGCTAAGGAGGGGAATTTGGGGGTTGGCCTTGGCAGTGAGATAAGGCTACATATAAGGGAGCTGCAGCAGGTTTGGGAACACTAACAGGGTATTTTCCAGTGTGCAGCTCAGCGAGTTTGGATCCTGAAATCATGAGCCAGTGCCCCTTTGCGGGGAAGAATTACCTGTGAGTCTTTCCTCTTTCTGTTTTGCTTTATAAATTCAATTCCAATGATAAGGTGTTAGTGCAAAATATGAAATCTCAGAGAGGAATTACTTATTATCAACAAGTAGACAGCTGTAGCTGTAGTTATCATTTAGCTGTTGCTAAATGAGTAGAGATCATACAAGGACTTGTCTGAGCACTTGTTATTTTATGTGATGTTACCAGCTGTTACTGTGGCAAGAGGAATTTCAGTTTTTATCAAAAGCCTGCTTTACTGGTTCAGTTTATCAAAATAAAGCATTGTTTGAATTGTAGATGCATCTGTTAGTAAAAAGGCAGGTATATTCATAATTCTTTAATTAAACAGTTTACATATTTACTTCATTTTCTTAGATTTAATTTTAGCAAGCTATCTTTGGAAGATGACAATGATGACAAATCTCAAGAAGGAGTAAATAAAGCCAGCAAAGGTGGGCTTATCTATGGAGAATACCTACAAGTAAGTTTAATGATTTCATGTTTGCTGTCTTGGTTGCTCTTGAGGCAGCCCCTGAGGCTGACACTTCTCCCAGTCAGTTACTGGGACAGGTATCCAGGCACAGGTGCCCATCTCAGCTGGGACCTCAAGGTGTGCTGTGGGAACACCTCTCAAACTGCAAGGAATATGGATATTTTGGGGGGGTTGGTAGGGAATTATCCATGTTGGTAAGCCTAAACTGTAAAGTGACCCACCACTAAAAGCTTTCTCTGGTCTGACAATAATCACTCAGCAATTTCTGAATGTCAGCAGGCTCTGTGCGATGTCCTTGAAAGTGCAGAATACTTGGCTGGAAAAATCTATTTCAGAAATCTAGGGGGTAGGATGATGACTAGGTGGCAACATAAAAAAAAAACAAAAAACAAAAAAACAAAAAAAAACAAAAAAAACAAAACAAAACAAAACAAAACAAAAAACCAAACAAAAGCTGCAAAAGCTAGAAGTAATTAAGAAATAAGTAAAAATAAAATACCATAGGTAGTAAAAGAAACCAGAAGTTATTTTGGGGTTTTTTTTTCAGACAGCATGAACTGAAGGGAATTACTCTGCTTTTGAACTAAGAGTATGTCAACTTTGATTTGTTGACATACTCTTTAAAATTTTGTAAAGATTAATTTGAAAACAACTATGATTAGATTACTAAATTTTTTTTCTTAGTAAAATTTACAATGTCAGAACTGAAATTATTGTCATTGCCTCAACTCAGAGCTCTTATGCTGATATTGTTGTATGATTACTCAGAATTTTACTACAGGAACTCTGTTTTCATGGGACACGACAGTATTGATCTAAAATCTGGAAAAAATGCTGGATATTTTGTTTCTTTTTTTTTTTTAACTATACATATTTATATAATTTAAATAACCCTTAAAATTATTTTCAAAACTTTATTACTTGAGGTACCTAAATGTTCCATTTCAGGCAAGATTTTTTCCTAATTAAAAAGTAGAAGTCTTACCTGAGAAAATTTAGTCAAACTTCTCATATAACCTAGAGTGTGTGGTCTGTATGTGTATTTTTTAAAAATATTATTCTTAAAAATTAGCTGTATGCAGTGAGAGTGCCATTACTAATAGTAGAATTGAGAGCTTTACAGAACAGTTCTCACCTTTATTTTTAAGCTGAACAAAATATTGAATGCTCAAGAACTTGAGAGTGAGAAGAAAGGGAAAAAAATCCATGATGAGCATCTTTTCATTGTGACACATCAAGGTAAGTGGAGGAGTGCAGTGGTGGTTGACTAACATATTTGCCACATTTGGTGCTAACACATGCAGTACACTATTTGTTTTCATTTTAGACACTAGCACAGCAATATCTGTGTCTTTTATCTGTTTTTATGTATGCATATATTCATATATAAATTGTAAGGCAGCAATCAACTCTTTGCTTGTGAAGCTGTAAGTGTAACCTTTGGATTTGGTAAACCAAGATATGGATGGTTCTATTAGTAGAGAAATTAAGGTGGTGAAAACCTTGGTGTGTTCCAAGCAACAGGCTGCTATGCAGGTTATTGTAGGCAAATTTTGTGTGTTGCCTTGTGCCTTTCTGAAATTCCAGTTTTAGCCATCTATGATCTGTCTAGAAATCAACACACCAGCTAGGCACTCCCTAATGCCCATATCTTCCTGTTTTCCACACCCTGGCCTGATGATATCTTCTGTTATTGACAGAAAACACTTGGCTTGTAAGCAGATGTGGAGTTAGATTTTATTGAAGTATCAGATCTGGATTTTCTCTTTCCTCCTTTTGGAATGAACAATCTGCAGATCAAACAGCTGATGTGTAAAACATATTTTAAAAAATTCTGTCAGTATTCTTGACTCTAGATTATTTTGTCTAATACTTTAGGTAAAGGACAGAATGCTGTAACAAGTAATAAGTTCATGTGTCAGTATCTTCTTTTGCACTGACAGTGTCAATGTAAGCTACTAATTTCAAATCAACATGTAAGAATTTTTCTTTCTTGGTGCTAAGAAGAACAAAGTAACCTTGAAGTTGATGCTAACAGTGTCTTTCTTGTTGTAGCATATGAACTTTGGTTTAAGCAGATTTTGTGGGAAATGGACTCTGTGCGAGTGATCTTTCAAAATGGTCATGTAAGTTAAAACAAATATTAATTTTGGGAAAATTCAGTCCTGATTTTCTCTTGCTTCCTGTCTCTCAGTCTGATATAGTTGGGTTTACTAAAGCAACATATGCTCTTTTTAGAAACATCATCAAAAGACCAAATAAAATTTGGCTGAGTGGCGCTTATATCCCAATAATACAGTTTTTTGATCAGCAAAATCTTACTTCGTCCTGAAGTATGCCTTTTGTGTGGATCACCTTCCAAGGCCAATTTCATTGGCCAAAATCTCTCATACTCTCCTGCTAGTGCTGGGTAACTGCATAAACTTAAGTTGGAAATATCTACTGCAGAAAAAGCAGGCTCAGAGGCAAAAATGAAAAGCAGAAGGCTCACAGGTATTTTTATGTTGAAAAGTAATTTCTGCCTTTATTCAGTTTCTGAAGTCTACATACTATCTCCTTCCATCCAATATCTGCTGTGAGGAGAACTCATTTTTGTGATTGTGTAGTGGTAAATCCAACAGAGAAGCAAGAATTCAAGCAGTGTAATACCGTGCAAGAATTTCTGAAAATTAAAAATATAAGCACATCTTCACATTTGTCCAAAGCTAAACACACATTATAATGGTAGGTAAGAATGGAAAACTCTTGAATTGATACTACATCCACAGAAAAATCTGACTTCGTGCAGTTTGAGAAATACCTTGAGTACGTCATTAGCATGTGTCGAAGCAGCAAATTTGAAACTAGACCAGATGGAAAAAAGGAACTTTGTTTTCATAAGGTCCAATGAAAATGTTCTCTGTTGTACACTATATTCCTAATTATTTGCTTTTTATTTTAATATTTTATCAAATTATAACTAACCCTAATCAGTTCTTAAGAATAATTTTTTTTCTTTTTTTTTTTTTATGAAAAATGAAGCTTTGCTTGTAATCAGAATTTGAAATGTCAATGTTAAGGTCAAATACACAGCCAAGCAATTAGGGACATGCATATCATCTGCCATTTTTGTGGTCTGATATTTCCTGGTTGCATACCCGACTTTACAGAGAAGTTTAATCCCATTGAAACTGAAAGGAATTGTAGCAGACTCCTCTGCAGGCAGAGTGTTTAATTTAGTGAAAAAAAAACCCACTTCTGTGTTTTCCATTTAGTATTATCTATTATTCCATTTAATATTATCTATTTCCCACCAGATGGAGTATTTTCTCTTCTTCTCTGCTTGCTAATGCACATTTCTAATGAACATGTTTTAGATGTGCTATCCTGATGTAGCTGTCAGATTATTTTCTTCTCAATTTCTAAGTAATTTCCTTACCTGCCTTATGGCTTGCAGAATGGAGCAAAAATAGAAATTGTTCCAGAAGTAATTATAACAGAAAGTATGTAATTTTCATATATATAATATTTAAGTTACAATAATATTGTAATTATTGGAAATGATAAATTATTTTTATAATTTAATTTCTTTGACTTCTATTTTAATCAAAAACATAGAAAAGAAAAAAAACCCCAACAACCTGTATGATAGGCCTACCTATAATGTAGCATCAGTCAGAATAAAATGGATTTCAATCTTTGAAATGCAGAGTTTCAGTTTTAAGTTAAAACCAGAGTGCTCTATTCCATATGAGATTCTGCCTCTATGGATTTCACATGGGAAGGACTTGGGTACTATAGTGATGTACAACAGTGAAAAGACATGAAATAACTAGGTAGGATCTAGAGAAAACACCATTCTGGTTATGATCTTTATTTTTTTTTATAGGTAAGAGATGAGAGGAACATGCTGAAGGTTATTACTCGAATGAACAGAATTTCACTGATTCTGAAATTACTTGTGGAACAGTTCTCAGTTTTGGAAACTATGACTGCATTGGACTTCTTTGATTTCAGGTAAAGACTTATTATTCCTCCACAGCAATCCACGAGCTGGTAATTCCCACCCTTAGAACTGATTGTGAATTTTGCATGTGTGCTGGTGTCTGTCAGCAAGCTGAGGGCTCACCTAGGAGGAGCAAACATGACATTAAAGTGCAAGGGTCAGTTATGAAACTGACCCTGACTGCGGGTCCAGCGTGTTCTGCAAAGAAGTACAAGTGAATTGCTGACTCTTTTGTGTAGGGTGCTGCTCACTGCTTTCAGGGTCAAAAGTTAAAACAGCAGAAACAACAGAACTAGCTCATGGTTCTGCTAGCAATTTAGCTGGAACTTGGCACTGCAGATTGAAGCCTTGTTCTGTGGCAAATCATAGGAGTGCTTGGGGGAGAGACAGGCACTCTCTCTAGATTATCAAACAGGTATTTCAGCTGTCTTGGTTTGCATGGTGTTGCCTTGGGCCTGCAGTGCTGGAGGCTGAAGGAAGCATTGCTGTCTCTTGTCCTTTTTCCCCAACAACTTCTGCTGCCCAGTAGGAGCTCGGTGCATTGCTGGGCTGGAAGGTTGTAACTCTTCTGCCTTCTGCTCAGGCTTTCTCTGGATTATCTCACCTCTCACATTTCTTTCTCTTCCCTCTCTACCCTGTCCAGGCCCTTCCACCACACTCGCACGTGTTACAGCTTCATCCACTGTCTTCCTTCCCTGTTCTTCTCCTGCTTGTGTCACTTGTGCATCTCTGTCTGTCTTGTGGCCTCAGTGCCATCCAGCATCCCTTCCACTTTTGTATTTTGGTACCCTTTCCCTTCTAACTTTTAATATTCCCTATTGAAAAGAGCAGGAAACTACGATTTTTCTTCACTTGTTTGAATTGAGCATTACCCTACAGCAGGGGAAATCCATGGGCTAATCATACATTTTGATCCATACCTGCTTCAGCTTTTCAACCACATACTCATTTGATAAGTAAACATAAGATTAAATCCATTATGCGTCTCTGTCAAATCTTGTGCTCGCAATTCAAAATGCATTATAATTACCTAGCAATGTGGGATTTTCAGGCTTTTACTAATAATTGTTTTTCAGCATGGTCAGATGATTTAACTCTTAAGATTCCCATTAATGAATCCCTAAAAAAAAAAAAAAAAAGAATTAATTAATGAATCCCTAAAAAAAAGCCCAAACCACTGGAGTTTTTCTGAGCATTATTCTATTCTATAGAATAAGGCAATATACAATATTGCATGTATATATTATAATAATTAAATATTATATATATATATATTATATTATATATTATAATAATTACATATTGTTATATATAATAATATATAAGAATTATGATGTGGATCAAGACTATTTAAAATGCATTCATTGGCATGTTATTGCTGTAAAAATTTTGGTATCAGCTGTTTAGGGTGCAGCTGCTTAATCTGTTTGGAAAGGAAATTATATTCACTAACACTGCCTCCTGTACATCACAAGCACAAAGCTGCCCTTTTGAAGCACAAATTCACACGTTTACATTTGCACTAGCTGTGTATGCACAAACAATACAGAACTAGCAAATGAGATTATATGTACACTATAATTGCGCTAAAATTACGTGGTTTTTTTTTCCTTTTCCTATGTGCAGTCATATAAAAAAGTCCCCAGATCAGATAGCTATTTGATATTCTTCAGATGTGAAAAAGTCCCCAGATCAAATAGCTACTTGATATTCTCCAGGTGTGAACTATGGCAGGTTTTTAGAGAACACGAGAAATCCACCATTGTAAAATAATATCCTGCATTTTTGTATCTTTTCTTCTGTTCCCAAAGATACTACCTAAGCCCAGCCTCAGGTTTTCAGAGCCTGCAGTTTCGCTTGCTAGAGAACAAGATTGGTGTTCCCCAAAGCCTGAGAGTCCCTTATAACAGAAGGCATTACCGTGATAACTTCAAGGGACAGGATCATGAACTACTGCTTCAATCAGAGCAAGAACCAACACTGCTGCAACTTGTGGAGGTAACAAAGTCTGTCTTGGACCTTGGATCATTTTCCCCATTTGCCAAGAATGTCCTTCATTAGTGTCAGTGACATATTCTCCTACCTCAAGAGGAATCTGCATGTTGGCAAATTCTCTCTCAATTGTGTTTTGGATTCTTGACAAATTTGACATGAGAGTCAGTCATTAGCAAACCAACTGATTTTTCACAGCATCTCCCTTTCATCTGAAAATTCTGGCTGTTTAACTGGTAAATAGCTTTGTGGAAGTGTGAACTAAGAATGTAAATGCACTGTTTCATTTGTAATGTTTTCATGACTGTAAGCCCTTCTGGGAAGAAAACTTTAAAAATATTCCCACTGTTAGGTGGCTGTTAGAGAGGCTAAAGACTATAGATGGCTCTGTGTCTTCCTTCTGAGATTTATCATTATTCTTATCCTATATATATGTGGAATAAGATTTGTCCTTCTGTAGTTTGTTTTAAAGACATCCTTAGAACGAGACAGCTTCTGTCTTCCAACATTGGCCATGCAACCTGGAACCTGAGTGGGTTGGTGTGGCACTATTATGCAGGTGTAAATCATCCACATGGACATGCTGAACATAGTAATGAGCACTTCTACAGGATACTAAACCAGAATTGTAGAAGTAGAATTTATGTTGCTATAACTTGTACTTCCAGGATAATGCAGTTGCATTACTATTGTTTGAACATATTGTTACTACTACTACTACTACTGCTGCTGCTATTATTATTATTAAAGGCATGGCTGGAAAGAACTCCAGGACTTGATTCAGAAGAATTTGATTTCTGGGGACAATTTGAAGAGAATGTTTTAAAAGGCCTAGAAGAGGAGTTTGCCTTGATACAGGTATATAGTTTACTCTTGAACTACCTATAAGCAAAGACATCTGGCAAAATGATATTCTGACATAAATTTAACTTTTGGCTTACTCAAAGTTTCTCACTCACTTCACTTAATCTTCATAAGTCTTTGTCTGCAAGAAGCAGAAAAAATTGCAAATTCTTCAGGAAATAGGAATATTTTTTTTATTTGACATCTAAGACTACTTAAAGCATGAGATACATGGGTGATTTGGATTGCAGAAGGCATGGAATAGTACCAATGGAAGGGCTGAAGTTGATTTTACTGAAACTACAACTTCACCATTAGTATTTGCATCTACAATCTAGAGCAAATATGAAGTTTGGGCTCTTGAGCTGTGGACATGGAATGTCATTATTAACAGCCCATTTCTGTTTAACAGTATATGGCAATTTGCTGCTATGTGATCATTTGAATTGCACTGGCAAATAAGCACCAGAAAATCCCTGACTATTTTAAGACCTGTAGCTTTAAATAATATTTTTTAATATTTTAATTTTTAATGAAAAAATAATAAGAATTTATAAGCTTCCTAAGAATATCTGTTTATGACTTTCTAACTTATCTAAACTTTTTTATTTACAATTTTCTTGCCCTCTGCAAGGATGTAATTTTTTTGCCTTGAAAACAAATAAATCAGATTTCTAACAAAGGATGATGATTAACTTTTTAAGGCCAAGAAATGTGATAAATTGCCAGTTTGTTTGAATATTCATTTATCTGAGTTGTGCTGGAATCTATTTAATTGTACTTTTCAAAGGGCAGTGACTCATATACCTTATTTGAAAATACAGTTCTTACATCTAAGATTCAAACTTCAGAGTATTTATTTAAATAAAAATTGCAAAATGAGTCATTCAAGTGCTTAATTTTCCCAGTTGAATTCTAAAGCTTGTCTTTATTTTAAATACCAAAGGCCAAAGCAGAATCAGAAGAAAAAGATGACTTATTGTCTGAATTCCAAAAACAGAGAGACGTATTACTTTCATTATTTGATGAAAAACGCCATGAACATCTGCTCAGTAAAGGTAGATTTTATTACCACATGTGAATACGTACTTTGTATGTTTTGTACATGTTGTTTATAAATGTTTGTTATAGCATTAAAGTTGCAGGAGAATGAGCAGCAAACTGAGGACACTTGTATTTTGCAGGAGAGAGACGGCTGTCCTACAAAGCACTGAAGGGGGCCTTGATGATCTACTTCTACAGGTGATGTTGTAAGATGTGTCTTTGATGGAGACTGGCAGGAGGAGAGGTTAAGAACAGCAGCACAGGTTTAGTTAGGCTGGAATGAGCTGTGGGAATCCATCTATTTCAGCCCTCCACAGGAACCCTGATTAGTCAGACACAGCTCGAAGGTCAGACCAGGCTGCTCAGCACCATGTCCTGATGAGTTCTGAGTATCTTCAAGGATGGGAGGTTGCACATCCCCTCTGGGCAGCTTGACCAGATGCTGCTTCTCAGATTGTAACTAGTAAATGCCTTGTTCTACCTGTCCTAGAAAGATCTTTTTCAAGTTAAAAAATAAAGGGGCAGATCAAGACTTATACAGCAGAAGCATTTGTTGAAGTATCTAGTGATATTCCAGTACCAATTTAGGAAAAGCATGCTTTAAGTCACTAAGCACTGATGAAATGCAACTTTGAAAAATACAGCTTATGCTGAGAGGTCTCACTGTCTTCTCTTTCATTTTCCAAGGGAGGAGCCTCGTTTCCAGGTTCCCTTTCAGCTCCTCACCTCCCTTATGGATCTCGATGTGCTCATGACTAAATGGAGATGTAAGTTTGACTTTTTTGACTGTGACGCTCCCTCTTCTAGATGCAAATAAATTGTTCTGTCTCTGAGTTACACCCAGTCTTAGAATTGAGCTTTGGAGTTCATGCTTTAGGAATGACTCTTTTTGTACTTCAGCCAAGAGGAAAGATAAAGAGCTGCTTCTGTGATCATTAGGTACATGGGTATAGCTACCACCTCTCTGACCTGCTTTAAGTGTACTATCTTATTTAAGGGACAGGTATCTATTTTTCAATGTATCCCAAAAAGTCATAATGTCATGTCTTTACACAGAAACATTCCTTCTGCCTCCTTCCCTGTCTAGACATATGTGAGTGCGTAATTCTGTATTAACAGAGCACAATAATACGTAATAATTAGTGTGTTCATTCTGAATTAACAATACTTTTATATTAATTGACTGAAGAATGGCAGAATTAACTCCTGCATTGCTGAAGACCTAATTGTTCTGTATCCCTGTAAAGATCTCTGAATGACCTTCAATAAGCGTGAACCTTTAGTTATATTTAAATACTGAACATGTGCTATTTTCTCCTGTTGTATCATTTAGATAACCATGTCTGTTTGGTGCACAGAATGATTGGTGGCAAGGCTGGCACTGGAGGCTCATCAGGCTACCACTACTTGCGCTCAACAGTGAGGTAGAAATAATGTGTTTCCCCTGTTACCTGCAACATGCAGTTCATAAATACTCTGATACTGGGAGATATAATTCAGATGGCTCACGGGAGGCTAAAGGGCTGCTGACTCTCTTCTGGGACTCTATCTCCTCTTGGTTGTTGTACATTTATTTATCAGTGACATATAAATTCCAAGCTTTCTAGGGCAAAAAGAACTCCTTTTGATCATTCATGCAAAGTGCTGTCTGTAATTCTCAGTCAGGGGGTGCAGGCGTTACAGTGATAGCAGTAATATGAACCCTGCATTGTTCAGTTGATGTGCCAGCTATCCCAAGTTACATTAAAGTTACATTAAATTATCCAAGTGACACAGGCTGGAAGTGAGCCCCAGCTACTGTGTGATAGAGTTTCTTTATTCCCTAGCATGACCTCTAACTGCACAACATCCTTAAAAGAGGATATTTTTCGAGGTTTGCTCTCAAAGAGCCGTGAACCACCATGCAGTGCTGTGAGCAGCTACTATCACAACTAATGGAACAGAGGGCAGAGCAGAAAGCAGACGGTTAGACTGATGTTGAGGATGGAATGCACACTGTCTTTCTCAGAAAGCTCTCCCACTCTACCTTAATGTCAGGTTAACATTATTGCTCCTAGATAAATTCTGCTAGAGATCACACCCTATGGACTCTGCATTTTCAGAAGAAAGATGTTTCTATAGATCCCTATTAAGCCTAATCTGCTATGCCCTAGGAAGTCAGGAGTGGATTCTTGCTCTGCAATACTCAGAAGAGTTAGTGCAAGGAATCTTGTTATTTGCATGAGAAGGAATGATTACTGAGGATTTAGAAATGATGGCCTTCTATGCTGATGGAATTATTGTTCCAATTGTCTTTTTCAGTGACAGATACAAGGTTTTTGTGGATTTGTTCAATCTTTCAACATTTTTAGTCCCAAGACATTGGATACCAAAGATGAACCCAAGCATTCATAAATTCCTTTACACAGCAGAATACTGTGACAGCTCCTACTTCAGCAGTGATGACTCTGACTAGCATGCCTTTCTAGGCTGTTGCTGTAAAGAACTTTCTGACTTTCACCTTCAGTGGTGCTCCCAGCAAAGAGTGTGGGTGTGTAAATATGTATTTATGTATGACAGCCTTGTGAATAGTACAATTGGCCTGTGGAAGAAATTAACTGCTTGTAGAAAAAATAAATCTGGATTGAGTTAGTCTATGTTAAGAGTAAAATGATACCCCAATTCAATCCAATGACCAATTTAACTCTTGGCTGGCTTCTTAAAGCCCGCACCTAGAGAAAAGGACAAAATTACTTGCAGTTATGATCACAACTTATTTGTACATATTTTTATATTTGCTTGTTTGCCTAATGGTTGTTACTAATTTATGTCTAGTTGAGGATATAATTAGTCTCATCACCTTCAGAAGAATATTAGTTTCTGAGCTCTAGTGCAATTTCAAAAGGATTTTAGGGTTAAAAGTTTTGAAAGCTGGATTCAAAAATTAAGTCCTGAATCTACAGAAACCAAACCATCCTGAACTTACAATACATCAAGAATCATGTTGCTATCCCGTTACATGTGAATGTAAATCCCTTATGTATAAATACTGTTAAAAATAGCAGATATAAGTACTTACTTGGCATTCCAAATAAAGCAGTATTAAAGCTCATCTTTTGTTAAATCTTCTAAAGCAAATGATAAAGTTCAAACAAGAGTATGATAGGTATTTAAAGTGATTTTTATTCATATTGGTATACAATAAAAGGCAACTTTGGCTATAGAATATCAATAAAGCAGTGTCATCTTCTCATTAAATGGACTTTTGTCTTTTTAAGTGCTTCCTTTGGAAAGACACAAACACTGTAGGCTGGAATTTCTGGTAAGTTCCCTCTACCACAGCACTTCAAGTACTAATACCTGGCAGTTGCACCTCAAAAACACTGGAGGCACGTCTGTGTTTCATATTGCTATGACTACATTACTCCTATCCATGGCCATTAGGGACTTTGTTTTCCAGTTATGGAAGTGTGGTATCTGTTGTTTGTAAGCCACTCAGGGAAGGCCAGACTACACAACACTCAAGAGTACACAAGACTTCACATTTTTTAAAACTGAAGTTTTCAGCCAAGTAAATTCAGTAAGTAGCAAAACGTGAAGTAAAGAAACATCACACTTGGTCTTCCTTTCATTTAAAATATGAAAAAATTAGAAGGAATTAAAACTAGAAGGAACTAAAAGGAATTAAAATTAGAAGGAATAAACAGCAACACTTAACAATAGACAATTATAAATACTTATTGCATTTGTCATAAAAGTTATAAAAAATGAATCTAAAAACATGTTACAGTAATTGAGTGCAAAAATTACAGAACTGCTTCAATACTTTTCATAGTAGCCCTTTGTAAAAGATACAGGTAAAGCATTTGAGGTGAAAAACTCAGAACATTTTAGAATTACATGTTTCATTGTTGAGTTCTAGTTACAATTACCCACAGCTGCAGTTTCACAGCTAAGCAAAACTGGAACAGCTTTTTATTACCAGCAAGTCCCACCTCTGAATTCAATTCATGAGGGAAATTTAACACTGACTCTACTGGATATATTCTATAATTGCTGACTTTCTAAACTGTCACTCATGATTCTTCTTATACTTAAATGATTTCAAATATACTCTTACGGTACTGACTTTTTGATTCAAATTCCTTTTTTTTATTTGTCATAATTTATTTCCTTTTAAGATTTTTCTACGGCGTAGTATCCAACACCTTACATTTGAGGCTTCAGTCCATCTTTGTAGCCTCTGTTTATGCACTCTGCAGATGAGTCTTCTTAATCCATGAGAAATTTGGCATTTAACACAAATTAAAAAAAAAATTAAAAACTTCAGCCAGAAGTTGCTGGAATTGCCCTTACAGCCATTTCTTTTGTTTGAAAATGGTGTTTTGAATTCCATCTTCATACACAGTGTCTGTCCTCATGATACTTGTGGTCTTTGACCAGTTGTGGAGGCCCAGAGGAATATCAAACAAATACTGCTGAAACTGTATCTGCAATACCTAGAAATGACATAATATTTGGTTTTAATAAATACTGAAGTGGAGACTTCCCACAATTCATAACAATATAATGCCCTCTCCCCTCCATGCCATGACAGTAGGAAACCAGGGAATCATCTGCAACCCTTTTATTTTTTCCTTTCCTGGCACTGGGTATAGTTGAAACCTAATCTCCTCTTTCCTCTGCTTTTATATTCAAAATTTTATATCCTGGTGGTCTCAGAGTACCTCTAAGTCAGAAGACAACATCTCTGTGGGAAAAGGAGCAACTACAATCCTTTGCTGGATTGTTCTTGCATAGTACACTACTACAGAAAATATGAAAGATCCTGCCTTTTGAAAATAACACGTCTGTTCTCACTGCCATCTCTATAACTCACTTGCTATATCACTGCTTCTAAATTTCTCTTTCCAAACTGTTTATACAACAACAGTAAGAACAAAGATTCAGTAACATGAGAAAGCTATGATTGGGTACATTGCTCTGATCTTCACTAAGTGCAGGCAAACTGAGTATTGTCTATTCTTTATGTGCAGAGGACTTAGGTAATCTAACACCTCCTGCAAGGACTGAGAGCTGCTGTGAAACACACATGGAAGGGAAAGCCAATGGGTTACTCTAACACATAAAATTACAACAGATACACAACACTTCCTATCTAGTGAAAATATCCCATCAATTTGGCTCAGCAATCTGATGACAAACCAGAGATTGACTTGCCTTACCTCCATATCTAGCAGAAACTGGTATTTAATGCTACAGGAATCCGTCAAACACAAGAAAAAATTCATGCAAACAACAATATAGCAGGATATTGAACGAGCACTAAAAGGATATATTTCTGTCCTACAAGAAAAAGCACAAGCAGGGTACACAATTCCCAGGTAGATCTGCTTTTCATATTTGTTTGTTAAATGGAGCCCAGAGATACTGGCACCCACCAGACAAGGACATCAGCTGTTTTACCTACAGGGAGTACAGCGATGGCACCCACCTACAACCATCACACATGGCTGGATATTTTACAGTGCCATTACCTCTGCATGGTAAGGGACAACAGTACTTTGATTATTTGTTTTGTCTTATACAGCTTTGCCTTTACATGGTGCTTTTCAATCATTCAACTACGTGCCTTGGTTGAACTAGCAACCACTTCATTTAGTTTTCCATCTGGACTCATTTAACCTCTTTTAAAGCATAGCAATGATTTGTACTGCCTCTCTGAGGATCCCGTTATATCTTTATTATATTACGATATATATTATATAACAATATTAATTTGTTATAGCCATTGAGAAACATATCCCAGCCCATGGCCTTTACCACTTACTTTTTGTCAGACTTACCACAGACATTGCTGCCCATCTTAACACGAACGTATCCATCTATTCCCCATGTCGGCCCCCAAGAGTTCTGTACAATCCAGTAAGGAATGCTACCTGGAAGAGACATTTCATGAACAAGAGACAACATGAGACTTGGGAAGCTTTAGCCTCCTAACACTTCACAGAGTTAATCAGCATTTCAGTATCTCACACTTTCTGATGGATGGATGATACAGGCCAGTGAAATCTACTATTGTTCACATAGATAACAGAGCTAATATTCTGGTATGAGAAGACTGGATATGGGCTCTTCTAGCATAAAGACACACACAGCCATGGTCTTGACTTTACGAGGATGAAGTCCCACAGAACTCAAGAAGCAATGACAAAAAGAGTTTTTCTTCTGGCTGATGTGAAGATGATGTGATCTTCAGAGAACTTCCAGAACTGATGTGATATCAAACCAACAGCTTCCAGCAGAAAACCGAGTTCTGATTTTAATCACTTATCCCACAAAAAGCAAGTTTTAAGTAAAAGAAACCTACTGTGCTGAAGTTCAGCTGGTGGAAACGCACCTGTTCTGTCAAAACCAGTGATAAGAACAGCATGATTTGCTCTTCCACTGGAGCAGTGATATTGTATGATTCCACCGAGATAATCCTGCCAGCTAATGGCATCGACTGTCACTGCCAAAGGGCCCCAGCTGACAAGCATCCTCATCATTTCCTCTTCTTGACCACTGCAAGAGAAGTGAGTAAAAATACCAAGTTACTTAAGTTAGCACATTAAAGTGATTAGAGTGATTGTAATCTACTTGTTAAGAACAGTTTAAAAATCAAATAATTAAACTCCTTCCTCCAAGTTCTGTGTATCACACATCAGTAATTACATATTTCATATACTACAGCACAGTGATACAAATATAGGACACACAAACTATGGGACAGGTGTAGATCTAAACACAAAATGCTATTAAACAGCAGAAGGTTTCTATGTCAAGCCAGTGGGCAGTGGAGAGCACTTCATACTTTTTTGTACATCACTCTTCTGAATCAAAACCATCTTTGAACAAACCATTATTCTGTATTAGAATTTCCCATTTCTGTTTTTTAAATCTACAAAAGTACCTCTTAACATAAAAATACACTAAAGTATGTGTCTTAAACATATCAAAACACAGGACATTTCCACTATCAAACATTTATCATTAGCATCCTCATACAGTTTTATTTATCTGGAGCAGGAAATTTTCATCACTGAAAATATGTTCATTAACTAAATTTGGAAAATACAGACTGGCAAAGATAGGATTGATTTTGGTTACTTATATCTGGAAGTAACACAATTCCTAGCCAGACTAATACTTCTTGTCTTTATTCAGTCTTGTCTTTATTCACAGAAGCCTAAAAAGCTGAAATTTTTACAGAGTTCAGTTGACAACACTGTTTCTAAAGTCATGGGCTGGAGAGGATGTGGGTAGATATGTAAATGCATGAATACTGAAGTAGTTGAATGCTTCCTATTTTTTCAATAAATTCCAGTTACTGTTGGTAGGATTTACTGTTTCTGACAGAAGCAGTGTTAATGTTCATATATTAAAAACTGTAACTGACTCTATGTTCCAGTTTATAGCCAATTTAAAAGACCTAATTTCAAGATACAAGCCTTCTCATTTCAAGAGGCTTAGTGATGGCAGTGTTGAGTGGATTCACTGTGGCAAGCCTTAACTCTCAAAGATGTTATGCATTAATCCTTCTCCAGCACACAGCTACAGAACTGATGCAATCAACCTCCCAGCCTTTGCCTGGTCAGTGCACTGTTCACTCCACCTAACTCCATGACTGCTGAACACAGAAAGAAAATTACAGTGAAAGAAAAGAATGAGTAATAGCTACCTGAAGTCATATGCAGCAAATCCTGTTATTGAAACTCCAAAATCTGAGCGCTCAAAATAATGGCACAGTCCTGTCTGAGCTTTGAAAGTGTATTCTGAATCTCTCACGAGTTTTACTTTGGTCTGCAAGAAGGTAATTGAGTAAGAAATTAATGCATTTGACTTTACTACTATGCACCTCAAAACATAAGGAGAATGACCACATAACCCACTCAAAATTCAGTGTGCAGTGGGCAAGATTAGAAGTAAGAATGTCACATTGTGAAATAATGACTTACTATCTCCTAGTTTCCTTGTTCACTGAGCTTCAGAAGAGATTCAGAAATCTTTAAATAAGAAATATATATATAATCTTTAAATAATAAACTAATAAATTTAAAAGGCATCTCTAATTTAAACCATCCTCATAAGCAGTCCTGTCAATTTCAAGACAGACATTCATTCAGTTCATTCACAAAGAATTCCTTCTCTTCAAATGACTTCCACACACAAAATTATACTATCATTGGGACAGTTCAAGAAGCACAAGTATCCCAAAAAGTTATGTAAAATGCTGTCAAGTCCAATTCTGTTCTTAGCATGTAATTCTCATGCTAGTACATGATGTATGCATCAGTCTTTTATATTTTTCATGCCTTCTGGAGTATAGCATATTTATGATAAGGACTTCTTCAGCCTAATTCATTTGTGGTTCCTCTGCTGCCAAAAGGGAATTTTCCTTCAGAGGAATAAAGGTGAGTATCCTCTGTTGTTCTTGATATGCAAACTTATACAAATTATCTATAGT